AATGTGTGCCTGTTTCCAAATCAACTCTGATGCTCGTGTTTTTCTTCTCAATCGTTTCCAATCAGGATGTGGAGGAGTTGCTGAAAGATCACTTCCGGGTTGGGGCTGACGTATTTGCCGAGTGGCGGGAAGGGATTCGGAGGGAACGAGACGTCGGTTGCCATGGTGCTCGGGGGACGTGAGCTTTGTTGATTCGTTTCATAATCAAAGAAATGTGGATTGTCAATGTTTGGAATGTCTTTTTAGTTTTGGCGAGAGAAATCAAACGATTGCGGACGTCAGTTGACCGCAATAGATTGGTTCTCCGTTTTGTTGCCTCAAGGTGCACCTCGTGGGCTCCTGCATCCAATCCGGGCACTCTCAGGCAACGCCACGCTGACGAGACGTTCAAGGTCCACATTCTCGAAGCTTGTGTTCAATTATAAATTATTTTCATGTTATATTTGAGCATTATATTCTTTTGTGTAACAGATGCCTAGGTTACATTCCGTTGAATAATTGCTTCAACAAGTTTATTTATGTTGATAATATCTGATTGGCTGAAGGAAACCAGGAAGTGTATGAGTAGCCGGAAGTAGGTGTGTTCTCGTTCGTTCGGAGGTGTTGACGTTGGAAAATAAAAAAAAAGCTGCCTTCAAAGGATTCCATCTGTCCTTTTGCCCATTCTTAAATTCGAGCTATCCACCCCAAAGCCACGAACGCCTCAACTTCCAGAAGCTCACTTTAATCGGACCTGGAAAAATGGGCCACGATTTTGGTGACAACGTGCGATTCGAGTCCTCTTTTGCCTTCTTTCTCCTTGTCCGTATGTTCGCATGACGTGCGATTTGCATCCGCGGCAAATTCTACATTTGAACCTGCGATCTATCTGTGCGCCTCGCTCGTCCGGTGACGTCACGCGGCACGCCGGCGTGATCCGGAAGACGCGACGACGGCAAAAGAAATGCAAAAACCTCCCCTCGAGCTTTCTTTCTTTTTCTTTTCAAATAAACATTCGGGCTTTGTCTGCTTCAAATCTCCAAAGTAAGTAATCCCCCCCCCCCCCCCCATGCCCGGACGCCGATCGTGTGCTCTCTATCTTCGCGATGGCCCCCAAACCGTTCAAAGTCCTCAACGCGCGTTTTCTTGTCACGACGAGTGAGGATTGTTTTTCGAGCTGTCGGAGCGAGGCCCGCGAGGACTCTGAAAAGGCCCCAAATGGGAGCCGAGGGCTGCTGTGGCTCGGCCGCAGCCTTCAACCGAACCTCGCCTGCCCGTTGGAAAACCGAGTCGTGTTGTTGTGACAAACGAGCGCAAGTCACCCGGAAAATGTGCGCATCGGGACCTTTCTTGTTATCGATGCTGCTCGCACCAGCAAAAGAACACACAGACAAACAAACGAAAGAAAGATCGGAAACAACCACGACCAAGCGAGGTCGGCGGCCGTGTGGAAGGCGCAAGGATCGTCTTGGTGTTTCCGTTTTGACTCAACGCCAAATGCTCTCGAAAGATTTGCTCGCTGCACGTTGAAAAAGGGATGAAGGCGAACGTCAAACCTGCTGCTCAATCAAAGCGAGAAAGTTGCTCTGGCCGAAGGAACGCTGCGGGACGCCGGAAAGTCCGACCGCCAACATTCTATATATACACACATATATGGTTGAGAGGAAAGAAATTTAATCCTGTGCTGTATGTTGCATAGAGCATATTTGACAATAAAGCTGACTTGATATATATCGTGTGTGTGTGTATATACATAAAAAGATTCTCAACTCCGGCATTTCACCTGACGCGCCTCCACCACCACGGAACACCTCAGATACCCTCAAACAAACCCACCACCCGATTTTTTTAAGATGCACGAAATGTGGACAAAGAGACGCGCGCATACACACACACACACACACACACACACACACACATATGTGTATATATATATATA